CCATGATAGTAACGCATATTAATATATAAGATTAATTTTTGTAAGATTAGTGGTGAACAAAATCATTTAAAAATTAAATTTATAAAAGAAAAAATAGTATATATTTACTACCACTTTAAATATGAAAATAAAATCTCCCGCAGGTATGGCCTAGCCATATCATTATCCTATATCTTTGAGTCGTATCAAATCCAATGAATTAGTGAAAGCCCACCCAGGCTGGTAATGAGTAACCAGAACAATTATAAATCTAAGATACAATACATTTTTGAAGGTAAAGTAGAAGTCAACAGAAAGATACATCCAATGGGAAAAAAACAAAACACGTGCTAGCAATTTTTTCACGTAGGTGTTTTTCATATAAAGACCCCCTTTTTGTTACTAACCATTAATGGGTTAAAGATCAATTCAGACAGATTTCATCTATATGAAGTTTGAAGTTCATATAGAAAAAAAAGTGCGATGATACTTTAAAAACTTAAAATGTTTAAACGCATTGTTCCATTTGTGGAAATTCTTAGCTACAATTAAATTTTTTCATCGATTAAATTTTGACTGTTGTACGTTAAATCTAGTGGGGTCACAAAGTTAACCAAGTTTCCATAACCTCTGGGAGAGCCGCGATGGCTCAGGGGATAGAAGGTTCGCCTTCCAATGAGGTGAGCCGGGGTTCTATCCTGGCGATGGCTGGTCGATACAAATTCCGCATCCGGCTTGCACCGACCACAGTGCTGACATGAAATATCATCAGTGGTAGACGGACATGGGTTAGAATCCCCTTACCGTCAGGCTAACCGTGGGAGGTTCTCGTGGTCTTCCTCTCCATGTAACGCAAATGCGGGTCAGTTCCATCAAAAAGTTCTCCACTGAGGCAAATTTCTCCCAATACTTGATCCAGGAGTTCCCTTGTCTTCTGGATTAAGCTTAAAAATACAAAACTACGGAGTTGAAAAATAGTAGTCGTAAACCCAAAAATTGGGTCGACGGTTATAAAATAAAATAAAATACCTCTGGGAGTATTGAATTGGATATTAAAAATTTTTTGTCAAAAATGAATTTTGTTGTTAAAGTTTCAAAAAATAATAAATAAAAAAAATAATAATAATAAAAAATCTAAAATCCGCCTTTTAGTGTAGAAAAAAATCGAAATCAAAAATCTAATTTTTTCTTTCGGATCAGACCACTATACATCCTCTGTAAGATTAACTGCAATGAAGTTTGCCAACGCAAATGAAATTTTCGAGTCAAACTCCTATCCGCAGAATATTTTTACAATTCGATTTTAAAATTATTTGGCCCAAATATGAAGTTTTTCATTGTATAACAGTTTCTTCATAAGACTCATACAATTTTAAAACTTTCATATACGTCCAACATTTCGGATGAGATACCTGCAAGTGGCATAGTGTGAGTATCTCGATGCTGATTAGTTGTTGAAACGTGGCATTTGTTTACATTAGCAATTGTTCTTTCCACTCCACTTCGAATAAGCCAAGTCAGTAAAGTATCAATTATCTTTTTGCCACATTCTATATTCTTTCACAAAGATTTCGATTCTTTCACCATATATTTTTTACTTAACACGAAGGCAGGCACAAAGCCACGTAGAACATAAACAAACAGACTAATTATGCAACGAAGTTGCAAGGTACACAAAACAAGAAATATATCACGGTTACAATATAATACATAGATAATTAATCTAAGCTAATTGAAAGACGTAGCCGAGAAAAAATTATATTTCAACAAATTCGATGTGCGATACGGCGCTGCATTTAAGTAACTTCACGTTAATTAACATTCTAACTTATGTAGAGAAAATTGCTTAAAAACTGTAGGTTGGCTTTGACGTCATTGGTCACATGGTGTGGGTGTTCGTGATCTTCTTAAGTGCAAGTCCCTAATTCTATTATGTTTCTAAAAAATCAGAAATAGGAAGACATCTGTACATGTTTTAAAAAATCTTTAAGTGCAAGTAAAATACAATGTTTATTTATTCTTCGTATACATTTGAATTGTTAATCACAATATTTTTAATATGATAAAAAAGAAATTGTCAAAAATGGTTTTTTTGTCAAAATTTCCAAAAATGTTAATGTCTGTTCTTTGCCTTTGCTCATGATGATAAAAATAGTATAAGTTCAGCAAATTAAATAAGTAGAAAAAAAACCCGACTCAAAATGTTTTCTTTGAGTACATTGTTCTATGGGCATCAAAAAGTAGTTCAGATCAAGAAAAATATGTATACATTTGAAAGAATCGTATAAATTCTACATATCCTCAAAACTCTTATTTATATATTGCACATATGATGATTTTATTCAATTCCTTAGTGCTGCTATCTCGTGGAGATTAGTGAAACTAAATTAGTCGTCACATCTTCCATTATAATTTGCTCTTATTTTTATTATTTGTTGGATTTTTTTCTATGTTTGTTAACCATTTATTTTTATTCTATTTTTGCTAAAGAAATATACATGATAGTATAATTTTATAAGAAAAAATTAATAAGATAAAATTTCAAAACTAATGCTTTAAGAAAAATATGTATATTTTTATAAATACGTATATGCATATAATTATAATTGTTGATTTAAAAAAATATTTCATCCGCAAATTTTATTACATTTTAGTGACTAGGAATAGTGCTAAAATGTTTAAATAAGCTTTTTCAGAGGTGAAGCCAATGATTATTACGTTTTCTACTTATCCGGAAAATTTGAAATGATGGTATAAAAATAAAAAAAAAATTTATTATTATTATTTCATTAAGAAAGAAAATAATCATCAACTACCAACTATTTATTACTACAACATTTAGTACATATATTTACATGCATGATCTGTTAGAATCAGTGAAGTCATGAAAATAGAACACAACAGCTGATACGTAACAAAACCAATGGTCGTAAAAACTGCATTATTTTTGCAGTTTGCTGCAAGTACTTTGTTACAAATGTAGTTAACTATAACTACTTTTCTTTAAATGTAGTGACTACATTGAAATTGTAGTAACTACTTTAAGGAGACAAACTTTACAAAAGATTAGTTTATACTGTGGCGTAACTACCACTACAAATATTAAACATCAATTCACTGGTATATAAAACATGCTGACTTGATTCAACCACGAGCTATCTTTTGTTATATGAAGGTTAGCATAATCAATAATGATTTTGTCTGAGAAATTGGTTTACACTAAATGTAAAGGAATAATTAAAAAAAAAAATTTGATTATGTATGTACACATGAACTAGTTTGTTATTCCAAAACATTAAACAAATTGTTTAATAATTAAAAAATATTTATTTATGTATACACGAGCCAGTTTGTTATTCCAAAACATTTTTTTTTCAAATTTGTTCATTTTAACCAATTTTTTATGTCTTTTTCGACAGCGAATATTTAATTTATAAAATACAAAATTATCAAATATTTGAAATTTTGTATTTGTTTAATGCTCTCTTATTTCTTCTAAGAAATTGAGTACATCGAAAATATGTTCCCTTTCTTTGAAATAGCATACGTCGATTTGCATGTAAAAGTTTGACCAAATCTATTTTTGAAATGGGCTAGTTTAAATAATATTTATACGTGATTTCAAATACGTTATTTCTGTTAACGCTCAGTTGCAGTCACAGGGACGTCATTGCATCCATTGACAGACCCACGAAGATATGTACCCCATTAAATTCGAAAAATTAGCTTCGTTAGAACCTGTTACTTACCCGTTACTGTTTCTTTTCTATACTAACGATTAAAAGTAGTAGCTAGAAATTAATTAGAAACTGTTTTATTTTTTTGTATCGCACTAGTCTACCTTAAAATAAATTTTTAAAAAAAATTAAAAAAGAAGAAGCACACTTCACTACAAACTGCAAAAAAAAAGTAATTTATATTGAATAAAATGAAATTAAACTTCGGAATATTCTATATCGCTCTTGGATAATTGAGAAATTGAAATAGATAATACAAGTGCAATGACAAATTAACTCGTCAACAATGTGTTAATAAAAAAAAATTATGTCTTACATTTTATAAGCATTGTTTAAAAGAAGTTAATTTATATTAGTACCTACTTTTGAAAAAGAACAGATAAGTTATCATAAATACCACCATTTAAATAAAAATAGATGATATTTAACGTATTATTTTGTACTACTAATAAGATAAAACCAAATGGCATTGCATATTATCTTAGAGATTAATACATACTAGTGTTGAAAATAAGTTTATATTTTATTTCATTTAGATTTGGTTATTCTGACTGTAACTTTATCTTTTATATTTATATTTCTTATATGTGGACTGAGGACGTGTCCTTATTATCCTTATTAGAATGTTCTGACTATATCTTTATTTCAATATATGAATTTTTGATTGCATTTTCTTACTTAGTTTATCCATTATGGGCCTGGGGACACAATCAGTTTTTGGTTGACAATTTATAAGTTTTCTGGGTATTGTGCTATTAACAAGTGGAAATTCTGAAAACTTTTAAAGTACCTATCTAAAAATAATGCAACAGATTGTTTAAATGTAAAAATGTCATCTTTGGGAAAAGTTTGGTTCATCACTAAATTACGCCAAATCACTTAATTTGCTCACACGCTGTTGGAAAGGATTTTTAGAAACATTTGTGATAATTGTTTGCTTAAATAGCTAATTTTACATTGTTTTTAAAACCTTTCATTTTGAAATTGGCAGAAAAATATTTTTTAAAAAAAGAAGACATTTTTGATTTCTTTTTAAATTATATTTCGAATTAACCAAAATTGTAAGGAAAGATTTGAATTTAAAATCTGATTTTATCATTGGTTTAAATAGAAAGTTTTAAATTATTTTAGACCCATTCTCTACAGTTTTAAATAATTATATCGCCATTTTAGCATTACCAATCATATAAAAGCAGATAGATTCAAATATTTTCAGCTATTGTTTTCATTTATTTTAATTGCAGTAACTATAAGAGTGGAAGATGTTCGTAATCTGGTGTTACATATATTGTATTATAATTTTATTATTGAAAAGAATTTAACAGTAAATAGATTCTCTTTTCCGATACTGCCTTCTATTTTAGCTGTTTAAGAAAAATCGTACAATGGAAGGTGTTCGCAATCTTCTGTTGCATATATTGCAACACTACAAGACACGTAAGAGTCAATGGATCCTAAAATTTTAAGGTATTAATTTTTATTCTATTTATACACAAGAATTCTAATGATGGAGAGCGTTCGAAGCGTGGCGTTGCACGCATCATTTCGTCACTATAACATTGCTACTCTATAACATTGTATAAGTCAATGTATTGCATCACTATAACATTGTATAAGTCAATGTATTGCGTCACTATAACATTGTATAAGTCAATGTATTTTAAACTTGTAAGACTTTACTTTTTATCCCAGTTGCGCAATGGGATTCATATGGCGGAGGGGGTTCGTAATCTGGTGGTGCATCTATCATATCGCTGTCATTGAGGGCTGGATTCAGAGATAAGTTATCATATTCTGAATCATTCCATGACTGTCGGACATCGTATACATTTGATGGAATATCCAAAATAGAACTCAATTCATCTCTGTTCGAAATATGGCGTCCATAGTGTCTGATATCTCTTTCCAAGGATTCTTCACTTGGCACAGTTACGTAGTTTTCGCTAACAGTCCTCTGACAAGATGAGAGTTTGCATATGCCTTCACATTTTTTGGTAAAGAAGAAAAGTATGACAATGATGATGAAGGTAAAAGCAAGCAACGAAATCGTAATGATTTTGTAAAGGGAAATGGAGATGTAGTGTAGTGATGTACGTGTAGTAGCTGACGTAGAGAAGAAGTTGTTTTCAGTGGCAGGATCAAGCGTGAAAGCTTCGTATTTATCTTCTGAAATGAAAATGAAAAATTTATTAAATAAGAAAAGATTGAAAATAAACCGTGTTTTTAAAAACTAACTTGTAACTCTTTACCTCTCAATTTCTCCTCCAGGAAAAAAAACATAATTTACCAAATTGAATTTAAAAAAATTTTAATTTAAATATTTAGTAACCTAATTTGTGCCAGTTAAATATGATTTGAGTCCTTATATCTTAACAATTTTTAGAGTTACGGCACACGGGTAATGATTTGTGATTAACTGAGAGCTAGCATTTATCGAAAAGAAACTAAAAAAAATTTCGTCGCACTAGCATTTAGATATCTTTATTCCAAATCCAATAATTAAAGATTTTCATTTTTTTTCCTTGCATAAAGCATTAATCTGAACTTGTATTACTTTATATACATAATACAAGTTCAGGTATAATGCTGTACAGTTTTGCAAACTAATTAGCGTTTAAAAAAAGATGAATACTATACTTCGCACTTTTATCAAGTTATTTAGATTATTATACTCCCAAAAGACTATTAATTTTCTGATATAACAGAACAGCTTGGTTCCTTCTTTAGAAGATATTTTGATTTAAAAAAGGAATTACAACCACATAAAAATTTTGTATCTTTATATTCATACAGCTGAATCGGTTTTTAAATAATATACGCAACTTTGGAGTAACTAGTAACTACTTGTTCCCTGGCTGGTTTTAAAAAAAATGAAATGTAATTCGATACCGCTAACTTGATTATTTAGATCTGAAGTAAGAATGCAAGATTTGAAGGAAACTTTTCCGAGTCTTGCTCCTGATTCCGTTACCGCTCTCTTTCGCAACCCCTAATACCCTATTTCCACAAGCCGGTAAAGAAAGCTTAAACGTTTGAAAAACGATTTAAAGAAGCGCAAAGTGTACGTTAAAACAGCTTATGCTCGTGGAAGCAAGGTATAATACCTTGTTTCCATTAGCCGATTAAGAAAGCTGAAACGTTTGAAAAAACGGTTTAAGAAAACTCAAGAGTACCTTAAGGCAGCTTATACTAGTGTAAGCAAGGTATAATACTCTGTTTCCAGAAGCCGGTTAGGAAAGCTTGAATGTTTGGAAAAATGGTTTAAGAAAGCTCAAGAGTACCTTAAGACAGCGTATACTAATGGAAGCAAGGTATAATACTCTGTTTTCACAAGCCGGTTAGGAAAGCTTAAACGTTTGGAAAAATGGTTTAAGAAAGCTCAAGAGTACCTTAAGACAGCGTATACTAATGGAAGCAAGGTATAATACTCTGTTTCCAGAAGCCGGTTAGGAAAGCTTGAATGTTTAGAAAAATGGTTTAAGAAAGCTCAAGAGTACCTTAAGACAGCGTATACTAGGGGAAGCAAGGTATAATACTCTGTTTCCACAAGCCGGTTGAGAAAGCTTAAACGTTTGAAAAAACGGTTTAAGAAAGCTCAAGAGTACCTTAAGGCAGCTTATACTAGTGGAAGCAAGGTATAATACTCTGTTTCCACAAGCCGGTTAAGAAAGCTTAAACGTTTGGAAAAACTGTTTAAGAAAGCTCAAGAGTATCTTAAGGCAGCTTATACTAGTGGAAGCAAGGCATAATACTCTGTTTCCACAAGCCGGTTAAGAAAGCTTAAACGTTTGGAAAAACAGTTTGATAAAGTTCAAATGCATCTTAAGACAGCTTAAACATACTAGTAGAAGCAAGGTATTATACCCTGTTTCTTCTAGCTGGTTACGTAAACTTAAACGTTTGGAAAAATAGAAAGGTTTATGAAAACTCACGTGTACCTTAAGAGAGCTTAAGCATGCTAGTGGAAACAAAGGGTTATAACCTAGACTACTTTGCCGCAACTCTCTTTCAATTTAAAAACTTTAGTTAATATATTTATTGAAAGTATGCTATAATTGAATTGTTCTGCATTTAACGTCTCTTATATCTGGTTAATTCAGTAAATCTATACATTAATCAATTTCCATTTTTGAAAAAAAATCATGAGTATTTTAAATTATTTAAACTTAAATAGCTGTTTGGAACTATGTTCATATAATCAGACATTATCATTATTTTTGCTATAGTTTTATCTTGAAGACATTTTAATAACTTGAGTAAAACTATGATTTTTTTCTTAAGAAGAACAGCAGATTAGAAAATTTACGTTATATAACGTTTCCAGTTATTTTTGATTAAAAAAAAAATACAGCAAAGCTTTTTGTCTGAAAATAAAATTTATGTGGAAAAAATAGTTTAGAAATAAAAATAGTTAAATATACTAATAGCAAAAAAAAAATTCATACTTTTTTTTTTATAAAAAATAAAAGCAATTTTGAAAAAATTTTTCGAATCAATTCTTTGCAAATTCTGCTTACATATAAATTGAATTATTAAACAAAAAAAAAATTAGACTAAAACCCAGTAATATAACAAATTGAAAACAATCGGAAAACGATGACTCCTAACGAGATTTCAAGTAGATTAAAACCTTGATTATGCGTACTTCTTGTATCCGGCTACACCTGTTAACCGAAGTTTTTTTTCTTTCCCCTTTTTTTTCTTTTTTCAATTTTAATAACATACTGTTATAATTTAGCTTTGTTTGGGTTTTTCAAAATAAACACTATCTTGACATACTACTTGTGTACAGACTACATAGAATTGGATATCTGCAAACGACGTCATGTGTAGATCTGCCAATAAGGTTTGACACACCCACGTGACGTGCCTTGCAGGTATCCTATAAGAACTGATCTAAAAATTAACTCAGCGTGATAATAAACCCAAGTAAGGACTAATATTAGAATAATATAATACCTCGATAGTTATATCTAAGCCTTAAAGTTATAACTTCAATAAGCCATGCACAACCACATGATTAGACACAACAATGCGATTTGTTGCAAATATCCAACTAATCATCTTATGTGAGTAACAGGAGAGAATTTAAAACTGGGAGACAAATGTTAAAAAAGGTTATAGGAAATTTTTAATTTTTCCATTTTACTTACACTTTAAGAATTATGTTGTCCAGTTTTAACATTATAATAATATCTGTTGAATTAGAAATCTGCTTTGGTGGATGGAAAAAAAAAATTGTTTCTTCAATCTCTCTACTACTTTTTAAATTTTTCTTGTTGCGGGTATCCTGAGTAAAAACTTTCACTCGTAATGTTGGCTGCTTCATGCTTTAATTTTACTAAATAAATCTAATAAGCGTAATTTTTATTATTTCATCTGTCTTATTATTATTGCCTAGTTAGATTTGATCACAATGGCTTCACCCAAACAGTAGCGTTATCTTTGGAAATAAAACAAAATATCGTAGATCATGGATTAGCAAGAAAATTATAATTTGCAAATGTAATCGGAAGAAAGCCCTACAAAGCTTATAAAGCAACATAAATCAACTTCAAATATTAATGAAAGCAGTTAATGATTCAGAATTAGATGTTGATTTGTACAAAGATTTTATACAAGGGCCGGGATAACCTGGGTGGTAGGGCACTGGGTCCATGTCCAGAGTTCGTGGATTCGATCCCAGGCCGGCCCAAGACTCCCCGTGTAGTAAATGGTGACTGATGCACGTTAAATCTATCGTGTCGCAAATTCCTCTATGTTCCCAAAACAAATCAATACCTCTTGGGGGTACTGATCCAGGAGTTTCCTTGTCTTCTGAATTGGTTCAAAATTGCTAGGCTACGGAGTTGAACATTAGCAGTTGTAAATCCAAAATTGGGCCAACTGCAGCAGTTGTAAATCCCGCTGTTCAACGACGAATATAAAATATTTTATGCAAAAAAAAGTGCCATTTAGTACCGATATCTAATACTATAGAGCAAATGTCGTTTAAAATTAATATGTAATTTTATAATTATCTAGCAAAAAGGCATGTGTAAACTGTTCGTGTTAAAATTAAATTAAAATACTTTATGGCAATTATTTAAAAAAAAAATTTCAATTTTCAGACTTCTTTCATGAAAATAGATTTAAAAATTATGTTTTCTTTATAATTCAAATCTTTCATTTATTTGAAATAGATCCAGTCCCAATTAATTCATGTAACCAAGCATCAACTACACATAAATTCACTTTAAAAAGAACACAAATGTACAAGTACTTACCTTCAGTGTCGATAGAAAACAAATCCATATCAGTTTTATTATTCTTGATACTGAAAGCCTTACATTTTTCACTCCAAACAAATGGAATTAATTCAATGCTTAGTTAATTTCTGTTTTATTAGTAAAAGGGTATTTTAACTATAAATTTTCGGCTCATAAACTATGATATTTACCTTTTCATAATCTATTAGTGATGTTTTCACATTCAGCAATCATGTGAAATCGCAAGTAATAAATAGAACTGAAACTTATCAACACCTGATAACATGTTCGACTCTTAAGCTACTGATAGCTCGTAGACACTATTAGAGAAATAAATGCGGCTGTGTAAATAAATGAAAGGTGCTCAACTTACTGAAACGTTCGTAAAGTAAGAATTTTAATTATTTTGTTGTCTAAATTATAAACTCAATTAAGTTCGTAAAGTTGGTTGTTATAAATTATTTTCAGAGATGTCTTATTCTGAAGGGACCTTAATTTAATTTCGTAGCCTTAAATTACTTTAAAAAAGATTAATTATAACGTTCAGTTGCGTTATATAATTTAAATAAACTAATTTATTTTTGTTAAACAACAGAATAACGGAGCTTATCTGTATATATTAATCCAATAGTTTAATTAACCCTTTGACGTAGATAAGACCCCGGTGTATCTTTTTATGTATTTTTCTTGACACTTTAATTGCAAGCCGAAATATAATTTGGTATCTTTTAATCATGAAAAAGTCTAATAGTTACTGAAAAAATCTGTTAGATTGTTGGAATTATATTTGTACTAAAATATAAAATCCAAAAAATGTAGTTTGATAAAAAAAATTCATTTATATTCAAAAAATTTATCAATAGTCGATTTTTTAAAAAATTAAAGTCATTTCATTGATAAATAAGTTTCTCTTAGATCTAAAAGACTACTAATAAAAGCAAATTCGATAAATTGTTTGGAAGTAAGCCGTGTTTGGAATTATCTGGATTTTATCTTTAACGTAGAAAAAGTATGCTGCATTTCCTAACCATAAATTATCAAAATGCTAAATAAAATATTCTTCACTTATTTTGATTTAAATTAATACGAAATAATGAAAAGATATGAATATATGCTTAATAAAAATTCTGTGACAAAGAGTTAACTAATGCACAGTAAACGAATACCCCAATTTTTTGAGTAATTGACGAATATTATTAATCAAATAACCTAATTAATAGGTTAGCAATTTGTCCATTTTTTTTGTACTCGTGCAACTTTAGTTTCAAATCATTCTTACTTTATATAGTTATTACCGGCAAAGTATGAAATACCGGCATTCTATACAATGTTCAGGCATTGTATATAATGCCGAATGTACGTTTTGCGACAAAGTATGAATTATTACATACATTCCTTTGGCATTGTTGAAATACCTAGGCATTTTGTAGAATGACAAATGCTATTTAGGCAAAGTATGTAAAAGATTCTGATAAGTCTATAGTACCACGTGACATACATTCCTAAAAAAATACAAATATAATTCTGAAAAATTATGAGAGTGCTATTAAAAAATTTATTTTATATGTGTAAAAAAGCACAATTGTTTAAACAAAATTTTCGTATAAAAAGTAAGAAATTAAAATTAATCTACTCATTGCAAAAAGGAAAGTTTGAATAACATTTGAATTGCATTTTATTACATTTGAAATGAATGGGAGATGTATTTCATACTTAGCCGGTTTCTTGTTTAGCATATTCTCTAGAATGCCTAAATTTATGAAATAAGAATCTTTCATTTCGGACATTACCGGCTAATTTTAGCCATCATAACTCACAAGCACTTTCTAAGGATTTCTTAGAATGCCAGATTTCAAACTTTGCCAGTAGCATAGTAATCACCTAATTCCATCATTATTTGCGATTGCATGGAAAATTAATTAAAAATGGATTATTTCTTTTAAATTTTTTGAAGCTTGCATTGTTTATTAATATGTCTAAAGTATTCGAAATGTAAATGGTTGAAGCATTTATGATCATCTGCATAATTAAGACTGCAAATAAAGAATTATTTATATTTGATGTAATTTGTTCTTTTTTATTAAAACTTAAATTGTCGGGAAGCAAAAGAAATTTTTCATTGAATGCAACATCATAATCAGGGGCCCCTATCAGGGGGGGAAGGTTGGCGCACGATGCGCCCACTTAAAGCTTGGGGGGGGGGGGATTTTTACACTAAATAAAACGAATAGTTTGGGGGAGAATTTAGACGAGAGAATTTTTTTTTAAGTACATAAATAAAAGAAGCAACTGGACATTTTCAGGCATACATAACTTGACTACAGGTGCAAAGCAAAATGGAAGCTAACATAGAAGGGGGAAGTTAGCAAATTTTTTTTGGAGGGATGAATACGCCCAAGAGCTTGGGAGGGATGGGGGCCACTGATTATTACTTACCGCAAATGTAATCGCTATAATTCTACTAATCTCAGTGGAACTAAAAATTTTAATCTTAGTTGAACAGTTCTTAGATAAATTTAAAATAAACATAAGAAACTTTTAACTTAGAAGTAGTGAAAAAGCTCTGTTTTTGAAGAAAAAAAACTATGAGACACAATATTTAAACTAATTCAGGGCTCGAAAAACCGCCCGTCCTCGGCAGACAACAAATTTCTCGAATCCAACGTCCGCGTGGACGGCCATTTTCCCGTTAATGTTCATGATATATTTTCAGTTTCTGTTATCTTACAAGAGTCTAGCTCCTCACTTCTAAAATGACCCTCTAATCTCGAAATACAGCAACATACTGCGCATGGTGGAATTGATGTTTTCTCTGTCTGGGAGTACTGCAGCGGTTGAAAGGGGCTTTTCAGCAATGAACTTACAAAAAAACACATTACTTACTGGTCTTAAACAAGAAGCGTTAAACGCATTTATGAACATCTACCTAAATGGAAAACCTCTTTCAGATTTCTGTGCAGAAACCTCTGTAAATCATTGGCTTGATTGTGGAACTGGCAAACGTCATATTTGATTCATTTAAAAAACGCAGTACCATCGGATAAATTGACATGATAATTGACAGATAACTTGACCTTTGTTATTTAAATTATTTCATTAAAGAAATAAATTATTTCATTAAAGAAATAAATTATTTCATTAAAGAAATAAATTATTTCTTTAAAGAAATAATAGGTTTTACTATTAGTAACCTAGTATTTCTTTTATTACCGTATAATGCTATCCTAGTATTTGTAATCCTAGTAACTACTAATTCATTGTGCAATTTATATAATTGTTAGTAATAAATAGGAGAAAATTATATTTTTATTTATTTAGAAACGACAGGTTAGTTTCAAAGGAGGACGGGTACATTGTTGGACAAGCCGTCCTCGGGCACGGGTAAAATTTCTGACTTTCTTCGAGCCCTGAACTAATTATCATTCATAAAAATCAAAATCTGCTCGTAGGAAACAATTTACATTTTAAAGTAAATTAAATTCTTATGGGTTTAAAAATATCACAACAAGGTAATTTATACATCCTTAAATAAGCTTTTCATCCCAATATAATTATTTCTCTTGACCAGATGCAATTTGAAAGTACTTACTGTTTCTTTTATAAATAGTTCAAAACGTAAAGTTTGCTAGAAAAGTAATTATGAAATTTAATGTAAGAAATTAAAGATGCACTATACACACTAGAATACATTATGAAATTTAACATCTAATTTTGTGTTTGTAACGGAAATTCTTAATATTAAAATACTTTTCAGAGAAGAAAATTTTAACTTAAATTTAAAATGTTTTAAAATAAGTATACTACTACCATACACTTATTTGGATCATAAATTACTCACACAATCAAGCACGCAGTGTCACGGTGGCTGTCTTAGCTCAGGAAAAGTGAGGTTCCTGGGTCAATCCAGACCCTTAATCCTCCTTCATAATAATTAAAAGATACATGGCACAAAATTAGTTTCGCATATCAGTAGACATTTCCTTAAGTTACTAAACAATCTTAATTCTTTCATACCTGCTCTTGGTATTTCTTATATATTCTATATTTTTTCAGCACTCAACACAGATGGATTTTGAATTTTATTTAAATCAAATAAAAAATTTGAATAAATGAATTGAGAAATGAAGTATTATTATATTGATATAGTTTTAAATTAATTTAACAATCTGGGGTACCCTAAGATCTGAAGCTGGGTAGGGTTCAAGGTCTGAGATTTAAAAAGTTCGCAATTTCAAATCCATTCAAAATTTTGTAGGCTAATGTAAATTCAAAGACACTGTTGTCTGATTTTATTACTTAAAATATAGTTTTCATAAATTAACAACATTCATTAGGTTAACTAATTTCGAAAAAAAAGAAAGAAAAAAACATTCGACACTTTACGCTTAATGTTTATGCTTCCGAAAAAGCTAAAGTCGATTTTTGGAAAATTTAAAAATACTGTTCGTTTATTAAGAGACAAAAAAAGTATTACAAGCATAACAATAAATTTTATTGAATACATAAATACAGTAAAAGAAACAAACAATCGTGATGATTTTTTATAAAGAAATAAAATATCTGTAAGGAAGTTTTACATTAAATTCCTGCGTTCAAATAATTCATTTATTATAAATATATGTCTATTAAAACGTCCGGGATACAAAAATCATGAGCTTTTTCTTTATTATTATAACCTTTAAGAAATAATGGAATTAATTAACTTCCAAATAGTAAAAAACTAGTTTATTTTAATCTAAATTCGAACAAGATTTAAAGACTACCCCCTCCTTATAAATTTCAAATGATGTTGTAACTTAAATGGCACCTTTTCTCTATTTTATAAAACGATATGTCTCAAAGTTTCATTTTTTTTTATTTGATTTCTCCTCAGGAAATTTGTAAAACCAATTTAAAAAAATTTTTTTTGAAAAAAAGTCATTATAGATGTGTGATTTTAATTATAGAAACTTGCTAGTTTTTTGTGAAAAAAATACACTGAGCACAAATATATTAACAAACATTGAACAGAAACTAAACCATAGACAAATTTACCCAAAAACAAACTGAAAACCCCAGAATATTTACCTATAATATTGAAACAGATTTTCAGTTAAACATGAAAAATGCCAAGTTGTAAATTTTTTTTAAATGTTGACATTTTTAAAAATTACCCATTGAAGTTTTGTAAGCAGTTTCATAACAAATTAACTGAAAACTCCAAAATATTAAAGCATAATATTTTCAATTAAATCAAACATTGAAAACGTCAATTTGTAAATTTTTTTAAATGTTAACATTTTTTAAAAATTGCTCATAGAAGTTTTGTAAGCAGTTTATCTACACATTATATATGTTACAAAAGTATACAAAAATTTAAAACAATACATGCATTTTCAAAAAAGTTTTGAATATTTGCCCCGAATCCCCTTTATAATTGTACAAAAACATTGTGCAGCAAATTACTTGCGTTGTTATTTCCCGAAAAGTTTAAACATAAAACAGAAAAGAAACACATTCGGTTTAATTTGTTTCAAGCTGAAAATAAAACTAATTTTCTTTTTCCTTTTTTTTGGAATATAAAGCGTTTAAAACAACGTTTCACTAAGTGGATCGTATTCATAAAAAACGCTAGACAGATTCGAAAAAAATCTTCGGAACACTCTAAGGCAAACAAAAACTGTCCATAGACAATCACGTGTATGATAGAATCATGTCACTACCTGAGAAAAGTAAAACTCGCAATTTTAGTCATTATGGAGAAAAAATATTTTAATTAATTTTATAATTATATTATTCATTTATTGTATTATTTTTCATTTATTATTGTATTATTTTTCATTTATTATTGTATTATTCGTTTCATTTTATAATCATATTGTTCATTTATTGTATTATTTTTTTCATATGTCATTGTATTATTCATTTCATTTTATTATTATATTATTTATTCATTCATTTACCATATTTTATTATTATATTATTCTCATGATCAGAGTGATTATTATTTTGATTTATCAGGTTAATTAGCCTTCTAATACACGTATTTAAGAGCAAATTTATGTAAATTTCATAAAAATGAAATTTGACTTTAAATATTAGAACAAAATTATTTTTAAAAATGCAAGTTATATTAATTTAAAAATATTCTAATTTAAATTTATTAATCATGGTTTAGAAATGAAAAAGAAGATAAAATTATGTTTTAAAATTAAATGAATAGGAATTAATGTACAAACTAAAAAAATATATATTTTTTCACTAAAAATATACACATAGTTGAAACATATTTTCATAAATAAGTTCGTCGACAAATTTTCAATTAGAGAAATGAAAAGCAAACAGTTTACTTAAAGCTAAAATATATTAATTAAAATATCAAAAAAATAATCAGATGAATTGCTACACAAAAATGCAAAACAATCAACAATAAAATATGTGCTCACAGTTTAAAAATGAATTTTTTAGTAAGTCCTAATCTCAAAATTGGTCTTAAACATGACCTTCTTAAAAATTGGCAAGGCATAAAAAAACGCTTAACCTCATCTTCCTTAACATTAAATAAATAACACAATATGTAATAACAATTACTGCAGCGAGATTACCCCTCATTTAGGAGGAACCACTTATCTCGATTTCTTTTCGAAAGTGAGATTAGGCATTTCTTTTCTAACAACACGCTTATCCCGTAGAACTTAATGCTCTGTGTTTTAATATTTGACGTAATTAAGGTGATGACAATGATGAATAAGGTATTGCTTAAGAAATGTCAATCTTTCTTTTAGAACTATGTTACATCACTTCATACAAAGCAATCTTATGAATTTGATTTCATTAATCCTTTTTGTTCCAACTCAAAAGGAAGTGCAACGAGTTAAAAGGTTCAATTACAGCAAGTTCTTTAAAAATCGTTTTCTTCTGCGAAGAAATTGTTGTTGACAGAATAAAGGCCATCAGCCGTAGAACAATCGACGTTGTAAGGGTGGTCACAAACTAAATATGCTTGATTGAAAACTGTTTGGTTTGGACACAGAAAAGAGTATTTTCCATTTCCATATGCTCCAGGGCAAATGTGGAAAACTTGGCAATTAACTTCTGGGTCTGCATAGTAGCCATAAGTACGACCGGCACAGCTGAATGACGTCTTGGGAACAGTGTCATAAACTGGAAGTATTTGACTCTAAAAAAGGAAATTATTAAAAAAGTACAATTTTTGATAAAAACAATTTTAATAAAAAACTGTTGAAAAGAAAGAAAATTATAAATACGATGCAAATTTTGCTGAGCTATTTTTATTTTTATGTAATTAAGTTATGCTGATGGGAATTCTCAATTCTTTATCAAACTTATTAAATAAGTGAAACTTATTTTGACATGGTACGAAAATAAATCAAATAATTAAATGCTAACTATAGCTTTTGATATTTCTTATAACTTCAACTTAAGAAATTAACATTAGCGTAATCTTAAAATTAAATGAAATGTTTTTACAATCAAATTTTTTCTTAATAATTATTTTGTTTGGAATATATATTTCATCCAGAAGCTATTTTTTTTAAATGGATATTTTCTATTTTTCTATAACTTCAATATTCAAGAATCTTTAAAATGTCGAAAATGTACTATAAATATAGCAAAGCTGTTAGTGAACCAGACAAGAAAAAAAATTGCATCTATAACTATTTCATTTATAGCTTGGTTTACTTGAGAAGTAAAATACTATTAGTGATTACCACGACTTATTGTCCGTTATAAAATACAGTAGTGGCAAAAAGTTTGAAATTACTTATGAAATGAATTCTATTAAAACTAATTTTAACTGTCATTGCTACAGAAAGGAAATTTTATGAACATATAAATATCATTAGTTGATATTTGATTTTTTTAAATACATTTTTAGTTTGTTATGTTTAAATATGACTTAACACAAATGCCTTGAAAAATTTTAAATCATGCCACTAACATCGTAAACTTTAGCTAACATGCTGCAACTCTTAAAATGTAGTCCGGTAGATCAATATAATTTACTTCCTTGGGAAAAAAAAAGTATAACAGAAATCAGCCTTTCAATTCGGTAATCAGCAATTTTTCGTTTTCTGAAAATTGAAAGCCTTCTATATATTTTTATATTATCTTGTTTTCCCAACATAAGTTATAATTATGAAACAATTGTGATACCACTATTTTTCAGAAATCTTTTAGTATATTAAATTCATTTTCAATTATTAAGATATCTCTTTCTTTTAAAAACAGAATAAACGAATCGGCTGGTGGACTTTCGGGCCAAATACCGAGATCACAGAAATATCAAGCATCAATACGTAAGATATTTTAATCTAATATAAATTTCTTTGTTGTTTAAAATAAACTTTAAGAAAGTTTATTTAGATGTAGTTTAACCATCGATTAAAACGAAAGTCTTATTAATCATTCGGCTATATTTAGTGTAGTTGAATTTCCTTAATTTTTTTTGAAAATCTTCAGATCTTATAAATTAATAACCAAAATAAATACAATCTTTAATAACTTTGTATCTGTCAGTGTGGAATTTTTAGAGACTTCGCCTACTATAAATTATTTGTATTCTTATACAATTAATTTTAGAGTTAACTATGAGATTGATTTTTAAGAGAGTGGCACAAGCAAAAGATTGTTCGACATAAGACATTGGCGTACTTTTAAATGCCAACTACCACGCTTTTTGAAATCTATTTCTTAGAGTGGTAGACAATTAAAAACTAAAGCTTTCTGCATTTTTAGCAACTTCGCAAACATTTTAAAAGCTTAATCATGAGGGAGCTGGAATAATGTAGCTACTACTCGAGGAAATTCCCCCCAAAACCTAGAAAATTGGCAGACCAGTAAATATGTTTCTGCTTTAGGCGAAAGAAACTCTAAATAACATTTTTACCGGAGCATTCTATATAGGGCTTTTATTATCTGAATTTATTGGACTTTAAAATATCGGATGAATCTAACTATTCTATATTGGACTAGTATTGGCTAAATAATGGTAAAACTGTAGGCTGAATTGGATAATTCTATAAATAGCCCATACAAGCTGAATAATGTCAATAAAATATCGGGAGAATCCGACAATTCTTTAAAGGGTCTATACTGGCTGAATAGTTGCTATAAATATGGGTTGGACTGGATATTTTTATATTGGGCCTACATTGGCTGAAAATATTTAATAAAGTATGGGATAAATCTGATGATTCTATATTGGGGCCTATATAGACTGCATAATTTCTGACAATATAAGCTGAATATTCTATATAGGGCTTGTTAATTTTATGTAGAGCTTGAGGATGTCATGTTTGGATTCAGAATCTTACTAAATTTTGCGTTCGAAGTGAAGATTTTATTTTTTTTACACAGAATGTACTAGTATATTTTATAGTAAGCAACCTCTCGATTTTAACCAGGCTCTCGATTCGTAATTTCTGGGCTTACATAGGCTGAATAAAGACTATAAAATGTTGGGTGAATCTGACAATGCTACATAGGTTCTATAGAGCCTATATTGCATAGTCAATATATTGACTGAATAATGGTTGTAAAATATAATGTGAAATATTAGCTGATTATGACCCCTTTAACTCTTATCGGGCCAAGAGTCGTGAATATTAGTTTGCTAAGGGCTCAAGTCATTTTACTACTAGGGTAGTTACTACGAAAATTTCTGTTTTAGTTAGAAAAAACACATGGGGGCCAGGCTAGCCTGGTTGGTAGTACGTTGTTCTCGTCTTCGTGAGAACATTGGTTTGAATCCCGTCGGCTGACAAATTCCCGTGTATTAAATGGGGACTGAGGAACATTAAATCTGTCTGGGTCGCGAAGTCCCTTAAGTTCCTCCAACAAATCAATACGCTTGGCCACCTGCCCGGCATGACTCTGAAACTTAACATTTTTATTTCTTTTATTATTATATTTAATTAATAAATACATTATTATATGATTGCTTATTATTTTGTAAAAATATAATGTGTTTTAAATGATTTAATGCTCACAATAGTTTAAATAGCATTTTAAAGTACTCGGACTGCAAACGGTTTGCAAGTTAACCAAAATAAATTATATCATGGTTGCCAAGTTGCACGGTCGTGAGGATAGATCAGGCTAAGTGGAGCTAATACGCTTAGTTAACACAGGAAAACTAAGCAATTTCGTCAAAATTTAATTGTTTATCATCCTAAAATAATAGATCTTTTATATAAATGGTAGTATTATTGAATTGTCATAGTTCTTTTGAAACTTCAAAATCCAAGATTCATAAATTCAGGCATAAATGAAGCTATCATTAACAAATTTTGCTCAGCGACTGTACAAGTTGGCATACATTTAATATGTATAATTATAATTTTTTTTTTAAAAAACTCTCCCAATAAAAAAATATTTATTAAATATTTAATAGTTTAAAATTCTCTTGAAAGCGATACAAATAAAATTAAAATAATGATTTCTTCATAAACTTAAGTGGCACCACTCAATTAATATATTTTATTATATAATATTGCTTTAAGAAAGTTTCACAACTTGTAATTCATAATACTTGTTCTAGGATAAGTGCGATATCATACTGTTATTTTTGTTACTTTTTTTAAAGCACATTATGAAACATAAGTTTTTCATACTTAATAAAACTTAGATTTCTTACTTTTGTAACTGTCAAAAACACTGCACCTGAAAATAAAACAAATGTAACATATTTAATAGTGCATTTAAAAAATTATTATCATAATTATTTAAATACAACACTTAAGTTCTAAAAGTTGTTGCTATCAAAAGTTTTAAAACAAAACAACTAGGCGTGATAAAACATCCTTTTATTTAATTTCTATTTGCGATAAATGAATTCCACAAGCCCGATTTGCCGCATTAAATAAGACCAACATCAAGTTGGTAAAACTAATTGGTTTTGGGTTTAAAACATTATTAATTTATGAGAGTTTTGTGCATAAAATAGTTATTCGTCACTCCTACTTACCTCTCCCCCCCCCAACAAAAAAAAAACCTATACAGTAAAACCTCTAGGGTGTGGCCACTCTCTGTTCCACAATAAAATGGTCGTTAATGGAGGTTGGCCGTTATTAAAGACTTCAAAATGTTTTCGAATATGCATGAATTTTCGCAACCGATTTTAATTTGACTCAGTGTCATTTTCTTGGTGCAGAATTTCACTTATGTTGACGTCATAAAAACCGAATCTGTAATAAAATGTACATAAAGTGGTAATAAAATGTATAATATTTATAATATGTATAATGTATAATATTTTTTATCTTTGTTGAATGACCACTATTACGCTTAAATAATTTAACTAAATGTGCCGGCCTGGTGACCGAGCGGTTAGCGTGCCTGACTGCGGAGCCATAGGCTGCGGGTTCGAATCCCGCTCTGGGCATGGATGTTTCTCTCTCTCTTTGTGCTGTCCTCTGTTGTGTGTGTGTATGATGTGTGAATGTGGCCCACCCTATAAACGGGTTTGTGGCAGTGTGGCGTGGGCAATGTTGCTCACCTCCGTGACTTTGGTTCACAGGTGCCCACTGGGTAACGCGAAATGAGCAACAATTCTGGCTATAGTATAGGCAAGATTCAAATTCAGTGCCTGCCATTGAAAAAAAAAATTAACTAAATGTATTAACTAAATGTAAATGCCTTTACTACGTTATATAAAAATATTACGTTTTTGCTTAACTAAAATATTTACTGCTTTCAATAGTAAAATCAATCGTTATCGCTGCCACTTCAAAGAATAATAATTCTTACATCGCGACTGACGAGATAACTCGTCTTCCAGGAATACTCATTGTGCTCTATTGCTGATTTAGTGAATATGGTTATTGATTACAATTGCATACCTGCCAAATTGTACGGTCGTTGAAAAAAGTTTACAAAGTGGTAGTAGGACAACAATTAAAATTGAAAAATTTTCTAATAACGAAGTTATTAAGACATCCATAAGCATAATTAGCAAACAGATATTATCAATGTATTTTTTTAAAATTATTGATACGTCGTGATAGTTGAAAAAATTTTTTGAAATTTTAAACTTCAAAATTTAATATGCCAAAACGCTAATGGTTTCTACCTCTAAGAAAATTATTTCTCAACGGCTGTACAAGTTGGCAGCTTTGCAATTTATTTTTCATGGTAAGATAAACAAGTTTTAAAGGAATTTGCTTCTTATATCAATTTCAGCGCTGCAGGGGGACTCTAAGCACAGAGGGTGTGACAAAGGCGTGTCATTGCCGAGATGAAAGTGTGAAGCAGAAAGTGTAAAGAAATAAAACAATTTTAATAAAAATAATAATATAGAATAGGCCATTTTATACTAACCATAAAAAAAATTAAAATGGTTAATATCAAAATTTAATGGCTGTTATTTCTTTGAAATTTACGTTATGGTATTTGAAATGTAACATTGCAGATCACAATGAAAACAAGTTACTTTCTGTCACCAACAATAAGGATTAAAAAAGTATCGTTACTTTCTGTCACCAACAATAAGGATTAAAACAATATCGTTACTTTCTGTCAGAATCTTTAGAAAACATTCAAAGCCATATTATATACTTAATAGCATAAAGCACATTAATAATCGTTAAAAAGGGCATAGAATAATTACAAATTCTACAGGAAAATGTGTGCTTTTAAACAATGAAACATTGCGATTCTGTGAAAGAATTGGATGAAAATGAAGCAGCCGCAGATGGCGTATTGTTCTTTATGGATTTTTACGCAATCAATGGAAGTCGGCATGGGATTCGGGTCGCTCTATTCTCTTCGTCAGATTATCTGATAAACTGATATCGCTTGGGAGTTATGATGAATTTCCCCTCTTTGTGTCAAAAGTTAAATGATGACACTTTTTCGATGGGAAACGGTTTGTTCATCACGATAGGAAGAAGATTGTTCGAAATGGTCGATTCTCAATTTACAGAAAGACTTAGGTCTACAAATTGGAGATCATTATTTATATAATCTGCAACTAAAGTAAAGCGATCGGTTATGTTGGTTTTACTGGTTGGTCTACAAGTGTTACTGTTTACGAAGATTAAAGAGTGGACTGTAAAATTAATAAATATTTTATTACGGGACGTTTACTATCGAATGTCCTATACGAAGAACGATATATTTTAATTGATATCCATAGTTTTAAATAGGACGCTCACCATGGAGCATCCTCATCGGAGAATGAAAAATGTACATATTATTAATTAATTAATTACAAAATTAAATAACAATAAAAAAGACATGTATAATAACTAAATTAAAGAAAAAACTGTGATCGCCGAAATTTGATCACAGCTTACCCATTGACAAAATAACAAAAGGTACTTTTCCGGCGCAGGCGATAAAGGGGCCAATAATGATGCAACCAATGCCAAACTGAATATCGCCGCTGATACCTTTTTGTCTCCACATTTTCAAAGCAAGTCGCAGCCATTTTTTTATCGGTCACGTCTTTTTCTTAATACGAAAAATTAACGCAATAAGTAATGAAAATTTGGGATTTTCTCAAAACAGAGGGAGAAGCGGTCAAATTCCTTCAAGAGAAAGGCGTTTTGTCTGAAATCGCAACTTGTGATAAGAATCATGAGAGGAAATTGTATATGGGAGATGAAATTCAATGGCGCTACAATCTTTCATCTTGTCTCTGCAAAAGAAGTATCCGTAAAGGCACATGGCTTCAGTAATCGAAAAGGAGCTTTTTGAAGTGTGTGCGGTTTATTTATTCTTACAGCGAAGAATTAACTTCAGTTGAATGGTGTGAATAGCAGTTGGAAATCAGAAAGGAATAACGTCATGCTTGAGGCTTGTGTGAATTCTTTGCTTAAACTTGAACAACGGAAAGTAGGAGGACCTGGAATGATCGTCGAAGTGGACGAAAGTATGTTTATGAAGCAAAAAAACAATGCGGGATGAATTCAACCACAACAATGGATCTTCGGTGGAGTATGCCAGGAAACGAACGAATGTTTCCTTGTGGAAGTGCCAAACCGTTCCTCTAACACTTTCAAGGCAAATAAGGAAAATATCGGAAAAGAAACTATAACATTTTCCGATTCATGGAAATCATACTGCACTAGTAAGCTGGAAGATGAAAGTTTCGAAAATTTCAAAGTGAACCATAAATATAACTTTGTCGATCTGGCAACTGGAGCACACACGCAAAAAATAGAAAGACTGTGAGGCAGAGCGAAATGGCGAAGTAAGAAAACACAGAGGAACGACACGGCATCATCTCGAAAGTTATCTTGCGGAATTTATGTGGAGAAGGCAAACGGAAGCCCCATTTGAAAAATTTTAAGCGATATTAAAACGTTTATGCCTCCGAAGTAAAAATATTTTTTGAACCATTTATTAACTGTTTTTTTTTTATGTGTATGCTGTGTGTTGTAGCCAATAAAGTCTGCTTTGTGTGATTTGTTCTGGCGACTGTGTGCTGTCACCAAAATGTCTGCTTGGCGAGATTTGCGCCGGTATAATGGAAAAGTACCTTATCGATTTGTATTATTTTTAGGATATTATTATATTCGATACATTTATGGTTATTATCGGTAGCCAGTGACCTGTGTCAATCAGAAGCTAGCTTTGTTCTACTTGTTGGCGAACTTGACTTCATGACACCAATAACAGATAATTGCTGAACATTCTTATATAGTTTATATTTTCATTTAAAGTATACTAATATAAAATTTGAGAATTTAAAATTCGTGATAAAAAAAGATAACAATTAATTATTATTACTAATTGGTATTAAAACACTTTAGAATTAGAGTTTAATAAATTTAAAAGCCTAAATATAAATGCTGTTTGGACGAATAAGCATATTTATGTTTAACAGTAGTACTGACGGTGAAATGTAATATTTCTTCAATTTTCGTATCTGTTTCTAGCACACTTTACTTCTACACTTAAATACAGGTTTAACAAGATTTAAGGCTATTTAATTTTTTCTACTGGTTTCTGTCTGTTTCATTTTTTAAATATTTTCAAAAATATTGTTTCCATGACAACGCACGTTTTAATTTATAACAAAGATTTTCCAGTATGAAACTGTGTCCGAATCTCATTTTGCAGGAAAGAGGTGAATATTTATGAACAACCCTTTGAAAATTTGCAAATTGCTGAATAAAAATTGCTGATATAAAAATTCTAGAAGATTTTTAAAATAATAGGTAATCATCTATTACGAAAAGGATGGTTTGAGATTAGTTTAGGAGCGCTTGGCCAGTGTATCTAAATTTGGGGTAAAATAATTTAATTAAACATTTATGAAAAATGTTTATTAAAATAAAATGCAATTTAATATAAATAAAAATATATACGTTGTAGGCTAATTGAAAAATTCGTGTATGCAAATGCCAACGGCAATTTTTAAATTAGCCAAATTAATACGAAAAAAAATTTTTTTTTTTTAAATCTGCCTGACATGTTATAGGCTATCTAGGAAATCTGCTTATTGTTATTGTGGATCATTGATATTGTGGACTCGGTGTTATTGTGTATACTATTTCTCATAGACGGAGTTCTTCACAGTGTGGTATTAATTAGTTAAAATACGATCCAACCATTTAAATCATGTTTTCCTGTTATTAAATATTTTCTTTTCTAGAAATGTGGTTGCTATAATTTGAGTTATTTAACTCAGAATGAAGATTCACACATCTAGCATGGATTAAACAAACGAAAAGAACAACTGAGCCCCCAGATTATCGGAAGTTAGAGCAATTAACTTAAAAACGTTTTGACTAATTAGAAAATACTGAGGATTTTTCCAATCAGTTTGGCTCCTAGCAAGATAATGATGACGTTTTGAGGATTTTGAAATTAGTCAACTATTTATCAATCCTACAATTTATGATAAGCAAAGAATTTTTGTTGAAAAAAAATGTTTAAATACTTAATTTGCTATTTTAAAGTTTATGCATGAAAGTATTAACAAAGCATTTGTGCAATCTTGAAAACTCTAAAATAATCCATTTTGTTCAAAAGTTATTTTAAGTTATTAATTTTTGGAAAATTTACTTAATTATAATTACAACTAAATTTAAGACTTTTTAATCAGCGTTTCGTGCTCTCATATTTCTTTTTAATAATATATACTAGTAATTTATTATAAATGTACATATCCTATTATTTGGATTTCGTGAAAATTCCCGAATATTTTTTATAATGCTACCCTTACTAATACTAGCTACTAATTGGTTAAATAATTACTCCACATATTGAGTAAAAATACTAGTAAAAATTTCTGTAATATTGAAATAATATTTTTAAAATTAAAGTCACAAAAATCTGATAATTTGTTAAAATAGAATTTTGTAAAATAGCTGATTTAACGTTTAGAATAGAGCCCCATTATAGAAACTATTTTTAAACAAAGTGCCTATTATTATCGTGTCAGGTGCTTTAAATACGATATGTTAAAGTTGTGAGCTTTAAAAAAAGCGTATTTCCGTAAAGATTGTTGAAATATATTAAACTTTTATGTTATCAATGTTGTAAAAATAAATAAAACAATAGTCGATAGCAACTAAAACTTTATCAGCTTTTTTTTCACAATCATCAATATCATGATCTCAGTCGTTTTACCGATTACGCAGACGATCTGGTTTAACATAAAGAATTTATCTGCGCAATGCAAACGATTTATGCAAATTTACTTGTGATGGAACTCGGCAATATCTCTTTGGAACATTACGAAAGTCAAAAATAAGAAAGTGTAACTTCCAAATTAGAAATCCTTGAAAGGAATATCAAAGTCGTGATTTCTTTGTGTCGTCCTCCATTAGATTTCACTTTCATCAAGCAAAGACTCGCGGTGAGAGGAACTCAAGCGTGGCGAAAAGAATTGTGGCTTGCTTTTGCTGTTTTAAGATAAAAAATGGCGATAAGAAGAAATGGACCTTCACTATCATTTTCACTGACATATTGTTTCATTGTTAAGAAATTTTACAACCCATTTTGTTAAATTTCGCCAAATGATGATAATGAGGATGTGTAAATTCTTAAATGGCTTTGAATAGGCATTATATAGCACTAAACGGAATTCTATGCGTATGGAATAATGAATTTATACAGCGATAGATAGGCGGCCTATTTCTTCAGTCACTTCAGTTTAAATAAGTCTAAAGCTATTATGATAACCGGCGAAACAATTCCATCGAATTATCCAACATCACTATAAAACGATTTCAACGAATAAGCTTTCAACGAAACTATTCAACAGTACTTATTATGTATCTTCTGTATTTGTGATTAAACAGTATAACTTGGCAAATAGCTAGAAGTGACAACAACTAACACTTTTTATCCCTTCTGAAGTTAAATTATGTCAATTAAAAATACTTTTTTTGGGATAAAAAAACCCTTTTAGGGCTTGGACTCCTGATAAAATTTTCATAAACTCTTTTACTACTTTTAATCAAACTCTTGATCCTGTCACTTAGTACATGTAAAACAGGTAAAACTTATAAGGTATAAGAAATTAACCATTAACCGTCTTTAAACAGCCGACCCAATTTTCTGGTTTTACGGCTACTAATGTTCAACTCCGTAGCCTTGTAATTTTGAACCCAATCCAGAAAACAAGAAAACTCCTGGATCAAGTATTGAGTGAAAATTGTCTTCGTGGAGGGCATTTTGATGGAACTAACCCGCAATTGCGTTACAAAAAAAAGAAAAACCACGAAACCTCCCACGGTTAGCCAGACGGCCCGGGGACTCTAACCCATGATCCGCTAGGATATTTTCTATCAGCACTGTGGTCGGTGCAAGCCGGATGCGAAATTCGATGATCAAGTCGGATGCGCAAGCCTTACTCTAATTGTCAAATAACTTCAACTTAAGATTTTGATTTTATTTCTTAGTTTTTGTTTCAGTCATCTAGCAATTTCAGTCAGTTTGGTATTATACCAGGTGTTGGACGTCTTTACCTGAAGTGTGAACGAAATGCAAATAAAGTTACAGAGAGAGATTAACGAATACGAATTAACGAATACAGAGACGTGAACGAATACAAATGATACAGATAGAGATTCGTATAAGTCTAGTCGTAAAGAATAATATTCAAAGCATCATTAATGTTTGCGAAGCGAGCACCATCCATTGTAATTAGTGATAAAAAAGGTTTTAGTGACTTTTTAGTTTGAACACACAGTTAGATCTTGATGCTGCAAAATTTGGCCTTCATCCAACGTCACTCTCTTGTGGTCTTGAGCTCTAAGTAATCCTATGAGTCTGGGGATCCGATGGACTCTGGTTCTAAGTAATCCTTTCTAACTCTGATTCGGATGAAATCGGGCTGTAAGTAATCATATGTATCTCTAGTTCGGGTTATTTTTCGGGCTCGGTTGGCCAGAAACTCCGAAAGCAAGTCCAAACTTATCTCTAATACGCATAGTATAATAATTATATTCATAATTTATAAAATATCCACAATTTAAATCGTTCGTAATTTTAATAATGATACTTACATAAAAGGATGAATATTATAGAAAAATTCATATCCATTTTCTTCCTCCTGCCTGAAATTGAAAATGGAATTATATGTATATTACAATCATATTAAATAGTAACTAGCAAGCTAGAAATCAGAAATTTTTTTAGAATAAATATATGTTATGCAGTCAAAACATGTTGAAATCAGTGGATTTAACAAAATATAAGAAAGAAGAAGTGGTTAAATGTGGTTTTTATTTTTACATTATAAGGCTTTAGTAAAACATAAATTAGGTCATCTTACACGTTTTCTGAATATTAAAGAAATATTTAAGCCGATAAAACCCCATGAAAATTGTCTTCAAATAATAGCTATTTATAATGAACAATAACGTAAAATGTTAAACGATTTTGGAAAAAAGCAATATTAAGATTGAATTTTGTTTTCAGATTAATCGATTTATAAAATATAATAAACGGGTAGTAGTGAATTGTGATCTTTAGTTTTATGTTATAAGTATTTAGTAAAATATAAATTAATTCGGGTGTATCTTTCTAATATTAAAGTTTAATGAAACAGAACTTAGTCTAGTGTGGTCATTATTTTTAAAAAATATGAAATTCATTCAATGTGGCTTTTATCTTTACAGTATAAGAATTTATGAAATAAAAATTACTTTGGTGTGAACTTAATTTTGGCATTATCAGGATTTAATGAAATAGAAATAGTCAAGTATGGATCGTATTATCATGACATCAATTCCTTAGTCTTTCGTTGCGCACAGATTCCCAACTTATGGCAATCAAAACAAACAGTGGTCATAGGATTTCTCGGTGTTAGCCAAAATTACTGTTAAGCAAAATAAATTATTTTTCCAGAAACTAGACATATTGAAAACTATGTGGAAAAACTATTATAGAGATGCTAGAGAGAAACTACATGTATTGTTGGATAAATATTAAGCTTTGATTACACTGGTTAACATGGATATTGTACATGGGATATTGGAATTTCAACACAGAACTTTCTTTATCTCGCAGCTATACGGAGATGCAGACATGCTTCGGTTTGTGGGTAAATATATACTAGTGGTAGCAAAATTATTTTAAAGTTTATAAGACCCGCGGGAACCCTGAGAAAATTCATTCTCGTAAAGAGTGAAAGTTGACAAGAATGGGATTCATTAACATTCGGATAGTGCCTTTTTTTTTTCTTTCGACATGAATTTGTTTGGCCGAACAAGGAACAAAAAAAATAAGATATGAAATTGCTGACTGTTTTTTCAATTACTAGATAATGATTCCCCTAAACAGTGACAAAGAGTTAATGCTCGATTTTAGTTTTTATTTATTTAACGAGAGCGTTGAAAATTATACCTTAATGTTTTTTTCATTTTTTTTTTTTTGGCGAGGAAAGTTATTATTTTTATTTTATGCCTTGATTTTTGTTTCCTAATTTATTTAGTTTATTTCACTTTTTATTTAAATGCAAATAAATTTTTAAATGTTGGAAATGTTTAAATTTTTATACTTTTTAACGTTTTTAAATCATTGGATTTACACCAAACTTCAAAATTAAATTCAAACTTTTTTTACTTTAATTTAATTTCAATTGTATAATGCTACAAGAGGACATAACAATACGACTGTGAATAGACTACTTCTGCAGCAAGGCATCTTTTTTTCCAAACTGCAAAAAACGGTTATAGCTTCACTTACGTAGTGTAAAAACTTAATGTTTCATCGCCCATTTAATTGATAAAGATCATTTGGATTGTCTCACTCATGTATCAACTTCCATACTGTCGGAAACTGCTTTCAAATAGGCATAAAATGAGCTGTTTTATCGTATTAATTATTTGCCGACCAAATTGGCGAACATTCGTATGTTTGTCGCCAAGCATTTAATTGCGATAAATTAGCTATTGCTAAGCCCGATTTTTGTCAATAATAATTAAAATATATGTATCAAATTAAATTACGATAAATTAAATAATATAAGCATCAATTTAAAGACACTAGAACAACTAGTACCCCCAATAAAAAAGCGCTCCCTAGCGGTGTATGAGGAAATTTCCGTCTACAAGCTGCAGTGCGATTCTCCAATCCTTATAATATGCCCAGCTTACTCCCTGCATTTATTATCTCTTTAACCCTCAAAGTGTACCGAATCATCCTGTATCATATGTTTTAACCACTTGGGGACGGGTGATTCAGAGAAGCATTCGTACAGAATCAGAATGTAAATAAATAAAAAACGGTAGCTTAAAATGTAGGCGTTGCTAATTTGACAGACTTACTTTGCTTTGAATTTAATTATTGTTAGTTTAATCATATATATAATCAATGTTAATTCAAAGTATAACTAAATAGTTTTATTTTGAACAAAGTAATGGTGAATTAAATAAATCAAACAATTATAACTCCGCCCACAAATAAACTGCTAAAGAATTACTTTGATTACCAGTTTTATCTTATTACCCTGATTGATACACTTTTATGCTGGCACGTATTTGTGACCGTCGGCCCGAAAGGGTTAAGTGTTAATAATTAACAGTGTTCACGGATAATTTACTTCTATTGTTATAAAAGTAGAATTTAAATGTTTTTCCTACCAGTACGTTGCAATTTCCCAAAAGTAGATACCCCTGAATTAGTACTTTGCAATCCTGATTAGCACGAATACTTATATGATAAATTAAAATTATATGCGTGCAAGATTCAAGCACTTGGGTGTGTGTGTAGTAGTTTAAAGTGGAAGCAATTTCAAATAAATTGGTTACCACTTTTATTAGTTTAATGATTATGTCAATCTTTCATAAATAAGTATTGAAGGCCTAGAATGTCAGCATAATATTCTTGAGCAAAAAAAAGAAGCATTTTGAAATTACTAGAGATAAACCGACTGATTTGATAATATATAAATACTAGTCTCAGTAACAGGAAATAATTACATCAACAACTAGTTGAACTTTTATGACACCAATGAATTCTAGTTTAAAATCGATAAAAATGATTTCGTTATTGATAGAAATATTAGATAAGAAAGTGACATAAAATCTAAATATAGTTTGTTTTTAATCATGTAAACAAGTTATAAATGTGACAAATCTATTTACGAATTGAGGCTTAGATTTTAGGATAATGCATATAGTTTGGAGAAAAACTGAAACTTAATTCCCGAAACGTTAATAACCATGAATTATGAAATAATATTAATAATTATGAAAGAAAACCGAACGAGAATAATTTTAAGAAAATAAATATATATTAATATTGTTATTTCGTAGGTATAGTACACCATATTTATTTATAATTTTGATTAAACAAACTTATGTAATTCACCTTGATATGAAAATGTATGTTACTTATAACTCAAAAATGTTTAAACAGTAATTTGTTACATAATAGAAATTAGTTACTAATTTCGTTATTCATGAAATTATTTTACATAAACAAGTGTAATTTTCGTGGTGGTAATATTAAAAACGCAAACAGTTGGAAATTTCATTACAGCATTTAATTTAAAAACTTTCTTTCATAAACTGTTTGATATTTTCTAAATATCAAACAGTTTATGCCCATGAATACAAATTCTTTTTTAAAAGTAATCTATATTATAGAGAAATTTATCATATATATTTGAGAATTGAATCTGTAGTGGTTTACAAGTAAATGAGACAAACCTATTTTATTCAAAAATTTAAAAAAGATTTTGATATACATTTGCTACCACTATCTTATTTTTACTAGATTTTGTATTAATCGCTTCTTTCGTATACTTGCTTAACTTCATAGTCCCTTCATCATTCATACAACCTACAAATATCCGCCCGAAAATAACCCATGATCCATATATCACAGAAGATATTTTATGTTAGCACTGTGATCGGTGCTAGCCGGGAGCACAATTCGTATTGAAGAGCGCTCTATCTCTTAAGTCACCAAGGCTTCGATTTATTATAAGCCGGAATCAAGATATTTTGTTTTTAAATTTTGAAAGTTTTTTTTAAGATTTTGAAAAATACTTCGACCAATTTATTAAAGACCAATGCAATCATGAGATTAAATTAAAAGGATGCTTTCTTATGTTAGCTGCCACTTCCACTAGGAAAAAAAATCAGCTACCTGTTCTAAAATTCTAAGGAATTATTTGTCAGTTATTAATAGTAACATTTTGCGCTTTCACATAGCATTCCTCGCAGTCATGTACGTAGGTTCAGCATGAACTTTGTAGAGAACCGATTGTTCTGTGTTAGTTACGCTGCACGGAACCTACGTATGAAAACGCGCGAGATGCTCTGAAAATTCATTCTGATTTATTTATGCATGTCTGTAAAACGTACTTTTCGCAGATAATTGCTAATAATGGAGTAATTAGTTCGAAATTTTTTAGTTTCTCGCTACAATAACAGATTTTTTTTCACCACGGCAATTGTAGAATAATAAGGATGCATGTTTTAAAATTTTTGTTAAAAAAAATATTCGAATGATGATAGGCATTAATTATTCTAGAACTTGTTAGATTGTTAGATTAATTAAATTAGTTAAGTTAATTAGTTTAAATTAGTTAAATTAGTTAGATTAGTTAAATTGTTAGATTGGTAAAATTCAATAATTTCGTGAATTACTGAGCTTTTAACAAAGTTTAATGTCAATTATATTTCTGTTAAAAATAATTATGTCCGTTTGTTCAAAGATTTTATTGCATGTAATTAGTTATGAACAAGTGACTGGAAAACAGTATTACTGAGCTCAATACTGGCAACATTTCTTGCAACTTAGCCAAACAGTAATTCTTTAACTTTCAAATTTTTGTTAAATCTTTACGTTCTTCTGATAAATATGGATCCCAACGATCACGAATCAACCTGCTGATTTTTTCTTTTGTTTTGCTTCATTTGACAAATATGTTTTTACTTATTATGTAAGTTTTTTAGTTGAAAATAACGCATTTTTTAGATTAATCAACGAAATATTTAAATAACGTATGATTGAAATTACTGTTTCTTAATTATATATCATTAAAATAGTTGTCCCTTAATTACGTATGATTGAAACAATTGTCCCTTAATTGCGTATAATTTAAACAGATTTGCATATGATTGAATCAGTTATCCCTTAATTTCATATGACTGAAATAATTCTCCTATAATTAATTATAATTGAAATAGTTGTCCCCTCATTATGTTGATCCTTTAACTGCATATGATAGAAACAGTTATCCCTTAATTCCGTTAACTGAAATTTTTGCCCCTTAACTGTGTATAATGGAAATAGTTAATGGTTGATCAAAATTAAAATAATGATTTGTAGAACATTAGTGGTGCAAACTACCACTACAAATCTTAAATAACAAATCACTAGTATATAAAGCATGTTAACCAAAGCCATCTTGGCGTACCTTTTGATTGATAAAAGTTGGCATAGTCGATAGCAAATAATTAGATCAAAAGTTGTTCAATGTTTGCATTTTCTTACATTTGATATTTTCTCTAGTTATTTTGAGGATAAAGAAAACGTTGATTTATCAAATTCTACCTTCAGAGCATTAGAAAATATTTTACAGATTTGTCTTATAGAGTTTTTACAGACTTATGGAGAAAAGTTGAAGAAAACAATCTTGTAATCACGATTTAAGTAAAAAGAAATCGAGAAAGTAAGGTACAGATTTTTTTTTTTTAAACGAACAATGGGAAACTTATTTTTAAAAGCAATTGAAAAATTTCGAAGGATTAATAAGAACGTTTCATTCTCCGTAAACACTTCTATACACTTCCGGTTTAGCCGGAAATTCACAACCTTACAGTTTTACAAATACAAAAAAATCTTACTTTCTTTCATACTTATATTATGAAGATATTACCTTCTGTTAACTACCACTTTGGGGAAAAAATGACCACAATGTGATGTCAGATCTGAATATTTTTTTTAATTTTTTTAATTAGTTAATAATTTTTGGATAATCGAATATCTTGTATTTGCAGCAAGTTTTAGTAATGAAATATTTGTGATACCAATTTTAAATTGTATGTGGTGTTAAATGGTGCAAGGCTCAAAAATCGGCATACTGATCCAATTAGTAATAATTGAATTATCATTTTTTACTTAGTTCGGAAATAATAAGTTCTAATTTGTTAAAATGTTAGCAGTTATAAAAGGTGTGTATTTTTTCTGTAAATTTTGTGTTCAGTTGTAAATAGAGTGACATGATTTGGTGTTCTAAATTGTGTCAAAACCATACGAAGTTATATAAAATGTTAAAATTTTCTTCTACCACTATACATTATGACAATTTGTACCTTTATTAAATTGTCTTGTAGGTAATATGTTTTATATACTAGTCATTTGGTATTTAATATTTGTAGTGGTAGTTAAGCCACAACCTCAAAATTGGAAACTCATTTCTTGTATTAAGATCATTTTCGAGCAAAACATACAATACACATCAATCATAAAGGTTAATGTTTCACTTTATGTTAAATAAAATAAAAAATTTCTAAGGAAATAAAAAATTTAGTAAAATTATAATTAAGTATAAGCATGGCAGTTTAAATGAAAAAAAAATACAGATGATTTTACTCCTAATAGTTGTTAACAAATACACGGTGATTTAAAAAGAATTGACATTCTCAGAGCTGTTGGCAGATCAAATAAATCAAGAACTGCAATACTACGTCAATTTGGATTAGCTATGATTATTCTTACAAATAAAAATATTGTACTTACTCCTAAAGAGAATATTACCAGGAATATTGTCCATAATTCCAAAGATAGATCTCTAAGTAAAGAACTAATATAAAATGCAAAGCTTTTCAATTGCCACCAGCCTTATTAGAGAAGCTTTTCACAACCTTGACTGACATTGTAATTATTCTTAACCACTTATAAGAACAGCTGTTATGCTGTATTTACTATTTTGCATTGTTATCTATACAATACCATTCGTTAAACAAGTTTATTGAGTAGTTATATTCAAATTTAGGAAGAGATTAAACACCTGGTAAGCTTTTGACAAATCCAATAATTCATTGTCAGGTGGATTGAAATCCATTATTGCGTAGAAAGGTCAAATCATTGCCACTTAAGTTAATCTTGAAATACAATTATTGTTTTCTTTTATAGCCTTTATAAACGAAATATTGAAAGAATACTCAACATAAGGCATTTATAATTGAATATGAATGAAGAAAATTGCGGAACAGTTATGTCGTCATTGCATTTTGAGTCAATAGTCGTTTCTTTCGCACAATATTTTAAAAGTATTAAATTATCTAGTTTTGAGTTATTACATAAAATTTTCTTTTAAAAAAATATTTGGTAGATAACTTAATATAATATCCACTTAATTTCAGCATTAATATTTTAGCAGATATTATATAATAAGACTTTTGATATCTTTGCAACATAAGAAATCAAGCCTTAGTTTGTAAAACCTAAAGAATGTTTTTTTTTCTTATAGAAATTACAGTCACGTGAACTTAATACATCAATAACTTGTATTTAAATGTATCTTTTTTTTTTTTTTTTTAGTAAAAACGAGTGACTTCTTTATTCTAATAATATAGTTATTAAGTCACCAGTTTTTATATTTCTGAAAAAAGTATAAGTATTTTTAAAAAAAAATCGGAAGATATAAATTATTTTGTCTTTCTTTCCTAAAAGTTTAAATGAAATGCATCATAAAAATGCATGATATTTATGCTGAAATTAGGTCTACCGGTAAATAAGGTCCGCGAACGATGNATTATTAAGTCACCAGTTTTTATATTTCTGAAAAAAGTATAAGTATTTTTAAAAATAATCGGAAGATTTAAAATTATTTTGTCTTTCTTTCCTAAAAGTTTAAATGAAATGCATCATAAAAATGCATGATATTTATGCTGAAATTAGGTCTACCGGTAAATAAGGTCCGCGAACGATGCAAAAGGTGCTTTTATAAAAAAAAGTGGTAAAGTATTTACCCTTTAATGCATATATAAGATGTTCCGCTTAGTTCTGTCGGATTTATATGCACGCATAATCCTTTGCTCCTTATACAGACATGCCAACTACTCCGGACGAGCCCTAATTATATAAAAACCGGTAAACAGCTACAAACTAAAATTTGCAAATAATTGTCTAATTTTGTTTATTTTTAAGACGGTATAGCACTTCTGAAGTAGCACTAAGTGTCGAATTATATAAGCTTTCGAATTATTTAAAAATAGTCGTGGTTAAAAACCTAATAAATTGAACTTTTTAAACTAAGAATCATACATTAATAAACTACCACTCGAAAACATTTATTTGTTGTCCGGAGCAAGTTGGCATCTCTGCTTATATGATGTGCTCCTTTAACCCTTTCGCGCCGACTGTCACAAATACGTGTCAGCAGAAAGCCGTATCAATCAGGGTAAAAAGATAAAACTGGTAATCAAAGTAAATCTTTAGCAGTTTATTTGTGGGCGGAGTTATAATTGTTTGATTTATTTAATTCACCATTACTTTGTTCAAAATAAAACTATTTAGTTATACTTTGAATTGACATTGATTATATCTATGATTAAATTAACAATAGTTAAAGTAAAAGCAAAGTAAGTCTGTCAAATTAGCAACGACTACATTTAAGTTACCGTTTTTTATTTAATTACATCCTGATTCTGATTTTGTACGAATGCTTCTCTGAATCACCCGTCCCCAAGGAGTTAAACTAGAACATCACCCTTGAATTAAAAGATAAATACTCTACCACTTTCTTTTTGCATTACTGTAATTTATTTACTTGGGTAGAAAGCATTCATGCGAATTTTAGAAGAAGATTTTTTTTTCTAAACATTTAAAAATGTTACTTGTTATTAGTAGTAAGCTTCGGAGTTTGAAAAATTACTTATCAACCCAGGTGATTAAATTCATCAAAAACGTAAGGCATAAGAGGCCTGATAGCGTGTTTCGACGTTTTAAGAGCTTGCTTGAGTTTAAAAACATTTGATTATTTCCTTAGTTTTTACTGCCCATTATAGATGTGTTGCATTAAAACTTCTAGGTTCTAAACTCTGATAGACGGAGGCCAAGAAAAAATTCTAATTTGGTAGAAGAAATTTGAGAACAAATAGTTTTTATTAATTCCAATCGACAAACATATGTTTTTAAAGTAAGAGAAAATGTGTTTAAAAGTTTCGTCTCACATCAATTTTTTTAAAACTGTGGATAATTTTCATGCAATTTCTTAAATCTTCATTTATGGAATTAATATTTTTTTTAAAAAAACTGATAATTTACTGTTTTTGAACTGACTTGACTTTTTATTTTTGAGATATGTGTGAAGTTTTTAAAAAAATAGAAGATTTCAAACTCAGATATAAGTATTTTATGATTATAAAGGGCTTCCCAAAATTTAGGCAAGATTTCAATAAATGGAAAAATTTATTAATTTAGTTGACAACAAAAAATAGTAAAGCTAGTAAAAATGCAGAGCTATACGAAATCACAATGCGTTTTCATTGGTGAACAATATTTCAAAAATAATGAAAGTTTGGCTGTTACAGCTCGCGAATTTCGTACAAAATATAGTCGGTGAAGATAGTTAATGAAAAATTTAAAGAGACTGCATCAAACGTGAACGCTCAATATACTAGCTGTTAAATATACGTCTGTTCGAACATGTCTATTAAGCAATATGTGATTTCAACAAGACGAGTCCCGCAGTGGATGGCTCTTCAAGACACGGTGCCCTATAGATCACCTAAGTCAAGCATCACTAACTGAGGTCTGTGTGCGGGTGGGCGATCATTTTTATTAGCCTGCAAAGGGACTGAGGTTGTGCGGTATTGATTCTCGTTACACTGTTCTACCGACTTCGCGTGCAGGTCGTCTGATTCTGATTACCGAAGCGGAGGATCAAAATTGTGATGGCATGGCTTCGGATCATCCTCAGGGATGTTTCTAAGAACGTCGTCAATAGCAGCCAAGCAGCTGTATTGCGGCGTAGACCACCAACAACTACATCAACAAGACGGAGCGTTACAGCCCGTGAATTAATCCAATTACTGCATGAAATATTTCATAACAGTGTATTTTCTCATTTCGGTAAATAATTGACCTCTAGAACATGTGATTTAAAACCATTGCTTTTCTTTCTAAGGAGTTATTTAGAGTTAATGAGCTGACGCCCACCCGAGCAATGAAGGTAGTCAGCGCTGCATCAATGAAATTTAACCGCATTTATGTTGTTGTTGTCATAGGCCATTAAGGCAATCGGTGCGATTGTTGTTGTTTTCCAGTGGCGCCATCTATGGAAAAGAATTCGACTTCTGCCACACCTATACGTCGCACCCGTTTATAGGACTTCATTCATTCATCCGCAGATCATAATTTTGACCTGAACTAGAGAACGATTAATCACTAATTCAGTACCCCCCAAGGTATTGATTTGTTATGGGAGCATGGAGGACTTTGTGATGAGACAGATTTGGCATGCGCCAGTCACCATTTATTACACGGGGAATCTACGGCCTGCTGGATTTGAGCCATCGATTTCACGGACATGGGACTAGCATCCTGCCAACCAGGCTATCCCGGCCCCAACCGCATTTATGCAAAATAGTTAAGGAAAATTTCGATAAAAGAGTTCGTATGTGCCAGCAAAGCTGTAGAGTTTATTTCCTCAACAAGCTATTCCACACATAACCCTATTCTATGTTTTTCGAGTTTCAATAAAAAAAATCCATAATTGGAAGAAAAAAATAGTTTTTACATAATTCAAATACTGCGTAAACTTTGGGATAGCATTGTTTTTACTGTAGCTGATATAAATATGCAGGTTCTCTTATAAAGGGTCAGAAATGGAATAATTTTTATATCACTTTGAATACCTTTAAATAAAAATATTTGATGTAACACTTCGTCAAGGTTGCTACAACTTTTCACGATAGTGAGTTTTAATGTACCGATTTTATGATTCAACCAATTTTTCAGAAAGGAGAATCTTTTGGAAAATGAATTCAACATCATTCATTTCCTTTAATTTGTCAATTTATTAACTTCAATTGTCAAGAAAAATTGCCACAAAACATTTAAAAATTTCTGAAAAATGTTAAGAAATGGACCATATCTTAGCTTTGAGAAGCAAAACACGTGTGTCGTAATATTATAAGCAGTAGGGCAACACTTTTCGGAAAAAATTCTTCCTATTTGGTTTTTTAACATAGTCTTCTGTGCTTTGTAAATATGACTACACCACTACATATAAATGATTCAAAAGCTTATATCAAATGCCACTTCATTCTAATACTCTAGCGGTGAGGCATTTTAAATGTTGGCAAAAAATGACAAAATTTATGAATGCATTAGTTTTTGATTTTCTACCACTTTTTAAAATATTTTTAAAAACTGTTGTAGTTGGCAGCTCTGTGTTGTACTTACATTTTTAAGTGAATTTACGCAGCGATGTGTTTAAAACTATAGCGTACCTGCCAACTTTTAATCCCTTCCATTATCATTTTTCCCAGTGGTATTAAAATGGAATTAAAACTTCAATTTTAAGCAAACAAATACGTTGTATTTGAGAAAACTTAGGTTGACAACCATGATAGTAATCAATATTAATATATGTGCTTAATTTTTGTAAGAATAGGGGTGATCAAAATCATTTAAAAATTAAGTTTATAAAATAAAAAAATGGTATATAATTACTACCACTTTAAATATGAAAATAAAATCTTCTGGAAAATCCGGAAGAGTGGGCAAGCATGCTTGCCACCACAATGTAGCAAAATTTCAAAATGTTTTTAAACACAATGTATATATGTCACGATGTATGGGATGCTATAGTGTTAATAATAGAATAGTAGTGATAATAATAGAAAATATTACCACTTGTTTGATTTTATTGCTTTCAAATTCT